GTACTTGGGCGATTCTGCATACGGTCGAGAACAAGCTTCGGTGGACATGACAAGACAACCAGGTTGCCGTGGCGCATGCGGGGGCCATTCATCCATTAGTACAGCTGCTCCGGGATGAAGCGACTTTCGGACTGCACAAGACATGGATTATCTCATGATCATGTTGTTTTCTTTTTGTCCAATGTTCTTTATTACCTGTTTTAACCGCCCATGGCCCTGCCTCCTTAATCAAGTATATAATAGGCGTCTACTAGTTAAAGCTCCCCCAGTCTGAGGGTGCGAAGGAGCTTCCTTGAAGAAGATTTGGTTCCTAGATTTTTAGGGAGTTGATGCCAACTTGACTGATGAAGTGCTGCAAACAATGCAAAACTGCAAGCAGGGGTCGGCAAGAGTATCGAAGCCGGTGACCCAGGCCTTCTGTCCGTGAGGAAGCAGCTGCAGCGTTGGGGAACCTTGTTTTCTTCAATGACGAAACCAATTCTGGAAACCAGGCAAGCTGCGGTGCACGAAGCTACACATGTGGACTCTTCAAAGTTGCACAAGGAGTTGTGCGTACACCGCGGCAAAATCTCAGCCGATGAAGTACTTGGCTTTCTCTTTCGAGCAAAAGAATCTAAAGATCAATTTGATCCATTTTGACTAAAGTCACAAAGCAAACAGTGAACAGACTAACACCCTTTGTCGCCAAAAGAATCAGTGTGCTTTCGGGTTTCAGGCGGCGATTGCCAAAGCTGGAGCGGTGCCTTTCTTGGCCGAGTTGCTCAAGGACCCCAAGGCACAAGTGACCGCAGCTGGTGCCTTGCGGAATTTGGCGGCGCAGAACGTGGCCAACCAGGACTGGCAACATGGCCCGCTCCCATGGGGACCTGGTCACAGAATTGCCCAATTTGCAAAGGACCTTTCAACTGATGGAACAAAACAGGTCCAAATATGCTACATGACGTTAGTGAAAGGAAGCCCTGAACAGTCCTGGATTCAGCGAAGAAAGATAGTTGATGAGATGTTGATGTGAGAGATCTTTCAAAACGAATTGGAAAGAACGGGCATCCGGTCTGAGAGGGTGAGGGTCGATGTGGCGTGTGAGCACCGTGGTGACGCTTGGTACGCAGGACTCCATTTGCCGCGAAGCCTTGGAGAGTTTGGTGCATTTGGTCGCGGAAGGAAACCCAAAAGCACAGGCATCATGAGTCATTTGTGTTATTGCATGACCGTCATTTTGTGTATTTGCGTTATTGTATGTTGCGCACATGTCATTTTGATTCATTTTGTGCTATTGCATGACCGTCCATTGTTGTGAAATTGTGGCCAGATGGAAGCAGCTGGTGCCATTCACAATTTGGTTTGGCCCTTAGCCCCCACGTTTGATCATTGGGGAGGTACCATTACCAAAGAATGTTTATTGCCTACCAGCCGAATTCAATCAGATGGACCAAGCCGGATCAAGCAACGGTGTTTGTTTGAAAGCCATGTGGCATCATGTGGCCATGCTTGTCGCCGAAACTTAGAATAGTAACAATATGGCCAGCACTACAGAACATGTTTGCACGCTAGCAGGCTGCCGGAAATTCCAAAAGCCAGCAGCTGATAGTAGAGGTGGCGGCAAGAAAGACCTTCGGGCAAAACCAAAGCTCAGAATGACGAGGGATTGCATGAGTGAGATGAAATGCTTTGCCCACAAGCGACAATGCATTGTAGGCTGGTGCTTTGGAGCCATTGGTCGCATTGTTGAATGAAGAGGACCCTCCGATGCAAATCTGTGGCAGATTGGAATCATTCATGCCAAGATTGATGGGTGCATCTATTTAATTGCACCATTTCAGGTGCCACGAGTGCGAGAAGTTGCAGCAGGAGCCTTGTGGGCACTGGCGAGGCCCGTACAACTGTCCATACTCTGGAATTGCAACATGCTACAGCAAGAACTCGTATTTCCTCAAGAGTTTGGACGACTTGTGTTCGATCTTGAAATAGAACGCATACACATGACCAATACACCAAAACGGTTCCGTTCTTGAAAATATTGATTAATTTGTCGCAGGGACAATCCAGAATTGCAAAGCGCCATTGATCGATCTGGAACGATTCCAAATTTAAAATCAAAATTAAATATATATATATATATTCGATCATTAAATATATTTTAAAACATTATTTGAAATAGATAAATCCATAATTAATAAATTGATATTTAAATAAAATCTATAATTATCCTGGAATAAATAGAATCGACTTTCGTAGGGAATATTTTCTTTTTGAAAAACAAAAATATTAGGATTGTTGATATTATTTTTTTTAAATTTTATGAAGATTAAGATGGATGTTTTATAAAATTCTTATTAATTCTTCTTATTTCGATATTTATTCGTTTATTTTTTGAATATATATGTAAGGATTATTCTTTATTTTTTTTCTTTAGAACGAATAGAAAATAGAACGAATAAAGAAGGAAAAGGATAATAAAGGAAAGGGAAGAGAAATCTCTATAATTATATTTATTTATGGGGTTTGGAAGGATCGGTTTTGAGGAATGAATTATTGGTTGAAAATTTATTTATTTTAGGATGATTATATATATGATATTTTAAAGAATTATTTAGATTATATGAATTATTGGAATAAATATATTATAATAATATTAATATATATTATGATAATAAATCGATAGGTTAAATTTGAATTTTTAAATCGTATGAAATTTATTAAGGGGGAATGCGCAAAAGCATTATTTGCGAGGGTAAAATTAGAATTTATTGAATAATATATTATTTATATTATGGGAGATTATTTGGATAATGGGTATTGAACATTGGAAAAATTTGGTTGGATATGAGGTTATTTATTTTAAGATCTTAGATAGCATTATATATGACGATGATTCGGAACGTTTTAAAATATTATTTGGCGAAAATTTTTCTCGAATTGGCGAACATAAATATATATAAATATTCATTTATTTCTTGAATAATTATTGGTAATGATTTAGAAATTAAAATGAATTGAGAAAATTAATTCATTGATGTTGTTATTGTTACTACTACTACCATTACCATTACCACTATTATTACTATTACTACTACTATTCTTGCTCCTGGTTTGGGGGGGTGGCTTTGCCGCAAAACTCTACCCCGCAAAAGGCGAAAAATTGGCGAACATTCACCCTGCCACATCTGACCCCTAGCCCATTATGAGTAAATTTGAATGATTGGCTATTACAATGATTCTTGTTGATACCCAGGAAACATAGAAGAAACATATAGGGGACCAAAAAAATAGAAGATACATGTTGACAGACAATGAAGCTTCTATTTTGTATTTGCCAATAAAGAAAAAACAATTGACATGAACAAAACACAACATACATGGCACACATACATACAATGTACTTCGGCGAAAGATAAAACGCAGGAAGGCGAAAATTTGGCTAAAGTACATATTTTTTGGGCGAAAATGACGGATCCCGGATAAAGGAATTTAGATCAACTCCCATATTGGGATTAATATGGTAGTTGGTTGGTAGCGATAAATTATTACCATAAAAAGGGGTCCGTGTAGATAACAATTTCGTGCGGGGAAGAAATTGATATTATTTAAGGATTTGATATAGTCACGGATCTATGTAATATTTTAGGATGATATTTGATGACATTTATATTGAAGTATACAGTGCCTGCCATCGTCTAAGTAAGTGTGTTATTTAGATGATTTCTTCTTTTGATCCTTTCGTTTGGCGGTTGGTGGCTTTCATTCTCCCTCTTTCCATATATTTTGGGAAACATTAAGAGGATTTGGATTATTAATAAAGACATGCAAGATATTCTATTTTTATTTGTTGTAAAGAATAGATATTTTAAATTGATACGAATTTTATTTCTTGCAAATATATTTTAAATCTATAATTTAGCAATTTGGATTTTTTATTGATGAAATATATTGAATATATCAATATTATTATGTATTGAATATTTTGGATATAATTATATATAATTGAACCACGTTTTTTTTTCAAATGATCAGGTTTTTATAAAAAGGGAATGGTTGAGAAGTTGTGGAGGTTGTTTTGTTTGGGGCGTAGGCATCGCATAAATATTTTGCGTAGATGGATGTTGAAATATTTATGTAGGCAACCTTGCGCAGGCAAATTTTTAATGAAAATATGAACTATATTATTTCCTTGTTCAGATTTCTCTAAACGATCTTCAAGGGTCTTGGGGAAAGATAATGTTGGATTGTAGATGTTTAATTTGACATTTGCTTGCAAATTCGAATGGGAATACAAGGAAAATGAGTTGTAATGGCATGGCTACAATGGATGTTAGAAGTTTGTTTGTCGAAACTATGGGGGCACATTGATTTTTGAGGTCAAAAGTTTGAAGATGTTTGGCCTGGCACACCGGCTCTTGAGCCCCAAGTGGGCACACCCTCTTGGTATTATAATCGATGGAACAAATTGAATTCTGCATTGCCCGACGTTTATACCATGTGAGCAGCCGGCTAAACTCTTTGGTCACCAACAACAGACCTATTTTCGCGTAGGCCCCGCGTAGGCGCACGCGGAAGCAACGCGTAGGCAAGAAGCTATTGGTTGCTGCTACTGCTTGGCCGCTGCATCTGTTGTTGTTGCTGCCTTTTGTTTTCTGCTGCTTGTTTGTTGCTTGTAGTGCTGTTTGTCTGTTGCGGATTATATAGCTCTTCTCGAGTCATCTGATATGACTAAAGTTGGTGATAATATCCTGCATAGGTATCCCGCAAAGGCACCTAATAAAGAGAATCTCTCGCGTAGGCATTTGTTTGAGAGGGGAACCCAGACGTAGGCACCCGCGTAGGTACAGACCCAATGTAAAAGCCCCACACAACAAAAAACACAATTCAATTGATGTTTTCCTAATCAAACAAATTAGTTGATATTAAGACAAATAGATATATTTTTGTATTTCTAATTTTTATGTTTGATTATTGAGGAAATATGATTATTGAAGAATAAAGGAATGATATTATTTATAAATCGAATTTGAATAGATGGATTCATAGTGAAATATATATTTATATTGATTGAAATTTAAATTAATTCTTTACACAATATAGAATATATATATATATTAGTAGGCTATCGTTCCAAAAAATATTGATAATAGAACGGATAAGAATGATTTTCGGGCTAAACCAAAGCTTAGAATGACGAGGAATTTCATGAATGAAATTAAAAAATTTTGTCGACAAATAACAATGCATTGTAGGTTGGTGCTTTGGAGCCATTGGTCGTATTGTTGAATGAAAAGGACCCTCCGATGTAAATCCGTGGCAGATTGGAATCATTCATGCCAAGATTAATGGATGCATCTATTTAATTGCACCATTTCAGGTGCCACGAGTGTGAGAAATTGCAGCAGGAGCCTTGTGGGCATTGGCGAGGCCCGTATGACTGTCTATATTCTGGAGTTGCGATATGTTATAACAAAAATTCGTGTTTGCTCAAGAATTTGGACGATTTGTGTTCGATCTTGAAAAAGAACGCATACATATGTTCAATCCACTAAAAACGGTTCCGTTCTTGAATATATTGATTAATTTGTCGCAGGGACAATCCAGAATTGCCCATTGATCGATCTGGAATGATTCCAAATCTAAAATCAAAATTATATATATATATTCAAAGATTAAATATAAATATATAGTATTTGATAGATTGATATTTAGATATGATTGATATATATTGGATATTCTATATAATTGTTATGCGTGGTATCTTAAGGAATTATTTTAATGATTTTATGGATTATTGGAATATTTGAAATGGAATAGAATATATATTTGGTCATGCCGGGGGGGTTTGGATCGTTGACAAAGAAATTGAAAATATATATATTATGTAAAATATAGATAATAAAAACGGATATATTTTTTGCTTCTTGTAAATATTATTTTTGAATCTCAGATAATTTTTGACGAAATATTTCTTGATATATTTATATATTATTTTTTAGAAATAAAATATTCTCGTTGTCATGTAGACATATAGATATTTTACTTATTTATGTAATTAAAATCTATTGAAAATTATTCCAGCGAATGTTGATATATTGAATAAATATTGAAAATGATGTGGAAAGAATCTTGAAAAATATCGAAACGGATATTATCTAAATTATTTTGCGATATATTAATACGGGGATCCCTCGAAGGCACCAATTATTTTTTTAATTGATGTTATAATATTTGATATTTATGTTATCATATATCTATTTTTATTGAAAATTCATGAAATATATTTTAATTATAATTAATCCATATATACAATATGTTTTTGATGTTTCAAATAATCATATATAGTGTCTTTCTTTTAATTGGTTGATTATTTTGATTTTGGTTGGATTTTTTATATATATAATATTGCTATAATATTGATAGATTATTTTTGATATTTATGGTAATTAGGTGGAATTCGGATGATATATTTTGGAAGATTAATTGAATATATTTTTATATATAATAGATTATTAGTTTTGATATTGGTTTTTAATTATCTATTTTCTGTTTATTTCTTTTGATATTTGAAATTATAATAGTATATTTTTATAAATTCTATTTGGATACAAAAAATACATAGATCAATATTAAATGGATAATATTGAATATATCTCGATGTATTCTTATTATGTTATTTTAAACTTGTCGCTATGGTGAGGAATATGTCATTATGGTTATGGGTTTTGTGGTTTCCGATTTTGTTTGTGATTGTGTATTTGTCGTGGTGTATTTGTGGTTGTGAGTTTATGATAGTATGTTTGTAGTTGTGTGTGTTTGATAGTAGTGTGTTTGTAATTGTGTGTTTGAAGTTATATATTTATGGTTGTGTGGTTGTCGTTGTGTGTTTCGGATAATGATATATTTATAATTGTATATGTGTTATTTATTTTTTGTATGAGAGATAATAGGTAAAATTGCGAATTATGGATTTAATAATTGATAAATTAATTGAAACCTCCTTTCGAATTAAGTAATTTCTTAATACAGATCGCCTCTTTCCCTCCGCGGAATTGATTTATTAATATATCCCGCTCCCCCTTGACCGCTTTTTCCCGAAACGGATTACCTTGATGAATATTTGA